GCCCTGGCATTTTTCAGAGTGCCGACCTGCCCTGCAAAGCTGGAGAAGCTGTGAGCAAAAAGGCCCCACCTGGGGCCAGGGAAATGATAGGGGAGAATGGATGGCAGAAGTTCATTCGATTCTTAACTACAAGCAGATATTACAGTCCGCCTATGAATGAATAGGGTGGAAGGTGACCACGCTGAGACGGATTCCAACTCGGGAGGAAATGTGCTTGGAAGATAGGGATGCGGCACAGGGCACCGTAACTCAGAAATATACTGCTCTTTTTGATTTCCATCTTTTCTTTTGTTGGCTCTGGCTTCACTGCCGGTCATGCAGGTAGCAATGAGCTCTCAGAACCCATCTACCCGTGTCACGTCTAAACAGATGTTAGGTTCTTCCTGTCACGTAAAAGATTTCAATTTCAAATTAGCAAGTGATTACACTGTTCTATCGGTCGGATTTCTGTTATATTTCGTCTATCAAGATTCGTTACGGCCTGTTTTGTTTTGTTTATAAATTGTTGGAAATCTAGACTTAGCATGTATGAAGGTTTAGATTTCTAAGTATGATCATCAAGATCAATTGAGTTGATTCGATTGAATATGATTAAGCTCATTTAGGCGAAATAAGGTTCAGTGGCTAGGAAATGCTATCTTGCGAAAATTGAGTGGCTGGTTGTTGCTAGATCACTGGGAGTTCTGGATCACTAAAGCCTTGGAAATCTGTATTTAACGAAAGACTTATTTCGTATATGTTAAACCAAGTTAACGGACTGTTATATATTATTAATTTATATTGAGAAGAGAATTCGATATCATATACAACTATCAATAAATTCTTGTCCGAAATTGTACACTTGTTCTTCGAGATATTTCCTCCTGGAAATCCTTGACAAATTCTAACATAAATTATGCTAGGGCATAAATGAAACGGTGTCTGATACATTGAACGCACCTTTCCAACTCAGCATTTGTGAGGGGTGCTGTCAAAGAAGAATTCTTCACCTTCCAGTAGTAGCGGTGTAATCGCTTTTTTTTGCATCGGGTTTTAAGTGCGTAGGCAGCTATCAAGCTGACACAATATCAAAGAAAAGTACATGTCGGTTCACAGGTGAATGGCATAGGGATAAAAGGCTTGTCTTGATTTGATTTGAATTTGAAATCTTTTGCATGATAGGAAGAACCTAACATCTATTTAGACATTTATTTATTTATAATACTTAACGTCGTGCCCGCGCACAGCACGTGAGCTCCTCATGTACCGGTTAGCCTAGTCTATATACAACTACCCGACGTGTTGGCGCCTACACAGACCCAACATAGCAAATGAAAACCAGGATCCTACTATGCTGTGCTCGAAGACTTGATTAAACATGAATATCAGCCTCCCGATGTCTCTCATTATTTGCAGATGTTAATCTATGGAGAATATAAAGCAAAAAAAAATTAGTAACGAGAAATATTTGTTGCGTCGCTTCAAAGGTCTCACGCTTTTATTACATGACTTCATTCTTGTCAGACTTGTTGTGCTTTTCGAAAAAAGTTTGTGTCATGCACCCAGCTACTGAATGCATCAACTCTCTGCGCTGTAGCGAGAGCCCAAGATATTGTGGGATTGAAGATCTGAGCCCTGTAGAGCTCTGCCTGGTACTGCCCGAGGTTGCAATAGAAAAAGTGGTCGGGGACTTCTCTTCCCCGCATGTGCAGGTTAGAATGGCGTTTTCGTGCTGAAACCGTCGGTGGTAGTCCGCGAAGTCGCCGTGACCGGACCGTGCAGCTAGAAGATATCCTAATGTGCGTCGCCCCAGACGGGCGAACTCAATGGTGATCTTAGTATTAGGGCCAATACCTAATTCTTTGTATCTAGAAGGTGCATTTTCTGCCCAATATAGTGCGACTGAAGCCTCGTACTGGGCTTTGACTTCTCTCCTTGCCCTCGCAGTGGAGAGTTCTAAGTGTGGAGTTGGAGCTGCACAGGCAGCTTTGGCAAGCGCGTCGTCTGCTTCGTTCCTGAGAATACTTGCGTGGCCTGGGCACCATCGGATAGCCACTTACCCAGGCGTCGTATCTTGACCGCGTGATCTTCTTTTCCAGTTCATTGCGAGCTTGCGAAAGAATAGTATTTTCGCCGAGCTGGACGCTGTGGGCGTATCCAAGAGCAGACGGATATCAGCCTCCTGGTTGTCAAGGCAGACAGTGACGTTAGAGGCATAATAGGCCAGTGGGCTGCGAAGAGCTGCGGCAAGACCTTCAGTGGCCCCGGCGATTTCTGCATCATACACTTCTGCCGAGTTTCCGAGTTTCCGAGCGGGAGTGATCCTCGCCCAATCTCCTGCGTGAGACCTCGGTAGATGACATAACCAGCACCTGCTCGGTCTTCCACTAGAGCTCCGTCTGAGGGAGGCTTATCTTGGATATATACTTCAATAAGAATTGATCAATGTATCTCGTGATTTGTCTCGGGCGCCGAGCTCTATCATAAATTAGTTTATAAATGCTTAGAGCAGCACAAGAACAACAGGGCGGTTAGATCAGTGGTAGTATCGCTCGCTTTGCATGCGAGAGGTCGTGGGTTCAATCCCCACATCGTCCAGATTAGAGCGGCATGAACTTGTTAACATGTGGCACCCCTGAGTTGTCATTTTGACCCGCTAATGTTGTCGGTGCCATCGCTCATTATGCTTTGCACATCTGGGATAGTTAAGAAGAATTGCATCCGAATCGAATTCGAAAGCGGACTTACACATATCTCTGTCCGTCGAGTTATCAATCATGCCCTACTCTCCGTTATCTTTGAAATCCTCTCAACCTCTTTCTAACCACACATCATCTCGCCTGAACGATCGATAACGCCTTCATCCCAACAGCAAACAGCAGCTTGCCTCGTTGATAACCGGCCACCCATTACTACAAATTTACGATGCTACGTATACCCGCAAGGAGGAAATGAAGTCATAATATACAAAAATGGGGTCTTTGTTTGTGAGGGACTGCTGCTCTAATGGTGCTATGCATCTTGAGTAAGGACAGGCTCCTGAAATGTGGAACGAGAGGGGGAACAGGTCTTTGAAGACCATGCTGGCACTGACATTTTTGAGGGGCGTTCAACTTTGGATTTTTTGTGGGCGCCAAGATCAAGATTTCGGCTAATTAGCCAGGAGGGCTTCTATTATCGGTGAGCCAACGGCACTCCCCAGATCCCTGGACGGCACAAAAGAAGTTGGGCTAGGCTACCATACAGTAATCACGCTCTGTCAAGACTTTTCTGACATTTCAGCACGAGCTTCGGGAAAGAGCCTAGAAAGGTAGAGGGTGAATTTCCCGAGTTACACACAAGTCTACAGCGTCCAACTGGCCGGCCTCTGCGAACGCATCAGAAGGGCCACTATGTCTTCGGATCTTGTACTAATGTGGTACGGGCTAGGCCCGGTTGGTTATGGCCGGGCTGTTTAAGGCTATTGGGCCCATCCTTATCTTGTGGGCGCAAGCGAGTTTGTAAATCTAATTACTACTGACAAGGGCCAAAAGCAGTCTAGCGACTCAAATACGAAGTGAGCATATGGGGCTGAACTCGTATTTATACAGAAGAAAAGTACCCGGAGTCTACAGTCCAAGCTGTCCATGTAGCTACCAATCGCAGAACCCCAAGCACATGATTATGTCCTGCCCTCGATGGTCAAATGGAAGGAAGAGATCTCTAGACAAGCGAAAGATCGGTCCTACGAAGCTATGCTAAGCAATCCTGGAGATATCAAAAGGATAACACAGTGGATCCTAAATCATGGTTGGATAGAGCAATTCCAGATGACAAAGGCGGTCGGAATGCTGTTGAGGGAAAGGAACAGGTCATGCCTTTCTTGAGGTCGATAAAGCTGATGTGATTGGGTCACATCGAGGGCACTATAGTGTAACTGCGCTTCCTAAAGGATAAATTAGAAAAAACATAGATATTAAACAGGAAAGTTTGGGGGGTTTTCACCAGAAAATTTCCTCCCATGTAAATTAGAAAGTATGATAGACATTTGCATGGGCCCATAGGGCGCCAAATCAGGATAGTGAAATCAAATTCAAATCTATTTACTACATGGGAGTATTTTCAAATCACGTGTAAAGGGCCAAGGAATCTGGAACAAGCATTGTAGTTATAAAGAGCCGTAGCTTCCCGATCCTAAATTCCTCAGAGAAAATATAATCATGTAATTGTGGCGCTGCCTTCGTGCATTGACCGAAATCCCTATTCCGTCACATGATGTCGGTATTAGAAGAGCCCCGCACCCATTAGCTTTTGCGATTTTCCTCTTCAATTATACATCCGTAAAAAGCCATCGTTTCGTTGGTTAGAGAGGGTTGAGAATGAGAGAACAACGGCTTTTCCAATTACGTAGTCAAATGAAGATTAGTGGAGGTGTTGCCACTGAAAAGAAGTAGTGTAGGAGGCTTGTGAGGGCGCACAACACCCGAGGCATAGATATCTTAGGCTTCCACACAGATAGGAATGAGAAGTCCAATATAATCTTCGACTTTAGTTAGATATAGCTATTTACTAGTAAATATCAGCAGGAATATCTCTATAGCTTCTCGTTTATTTGTTCCTCATATAATTAATCATGGAGTATGTTGAATGACAAGGTGCGTCTAATTGGTGCAAGGATGAGCCGAGCCAGTCAAAGTCACATTGATGAGTCGCGTCAATTACGCTACTTATTTAGATCAGTCGCGTGAATAAAACTTGCACATTTTAGCCATCGTATCTCTCTAGATCTATTGTGTGCATTGAGATTAATTCTTTCTTTACCGATTCTATACAACCTCCTTCCACTGTACTAATTCCCTTATCTTCCACACGGTCATACAGCGATAGAAGACTACCAATCTAATAGAATATGCGTTACAAATGTGGACGGGCTGTTGATGGCCACGATTCGTGGAATAGGTGAAATGATTTAGGGAACTACGATTAAAACTTGGTCAGGCACAGACCAGCCACTACCAACTAAACTAGGGAGGTTTCAATTGCTAGTCACATAATAGTGAGGTGTATGAAACCTGGAAGTTTATCTGTCGAATAGATTCAGCTATCCACCCGCGACAGGATGGCCCGGTCCTACTTCTATCCATCAGTTTGACGGCTCTTTGAACCATGTCAGTGACATGCTTGTCCTGTCCCAAAGGAAATCTCACCCTGAAACACTATCTTGACGGATATAGGTGCACAAGTTTACAGAGATGCTGATAGGTTCTCGAATTCCGTTGTCGAGGGCCGGCTGCTGCTTATCCACCCAAAGAATATGATCACGGGTGGCATATAGCCTGGCGTGCTGTAGCATCCTAGGCTATACTAGTCAAGCCTGCTGCTACTCAAGGAACTGTCTTGATCATTCAGGATGAGCGGCCATTTTGTCTCGTTGGGGACTCTGAGGAACTTGTTTAGTTTGATGGGTTGAAATCTAGGCTAATTTAAGAGATGATCACTATACGAAGCAGCTTTGATCAATCTGGCCTTGATTGTACAGAGAAGTACCTGCCTGGTGGTTGTGGCTGGTTTTAGCATTTTCTGATAGCTGCAGCGGTGTGAGGCCGTGATAAGAACCTGGACCTAAATTCTATAAAATTAGTTACAGGGAATGCAAGTAGGAAGTGTGTGTAATTATGTGGACCGCTAAATCGCTATGTGGGGAATATGCTTGGTCTGTTTAACTTTTCAGGGAAGACGAACGGGCCTTCCTGCGTTCGCCTTACTCTGCCTCCTTGATCCAAGCAAATCTATCTCCCTTGTAATCTCGCATGTTTCGGACGAATGTGGATTTTCAGATAAAGCGAAGAAACTGGTTGAGTAATCGGTGCATGGGACTGTTGACCTTGTGAAATGCTGCAGTGGAGGTGGAGATGAAGTGGGGCTGGGGGTTATAAAAGAGAAGCTGGGCGAGGGTAATGATACGGAGGTGTTTGAGATGAAAACTTAGCCGGCTCTAGCCCATCTCGCTCTCTGCTAACCCCCAAAAGTGGTCTGTTCTCGGGCCAGAATCATGAAAGAATTGCTAGTCGGGGGTCATGACTGGGGTCCGTACATGCTGTTCCTGAATATCTTAATCAAAGCCCTAAGAACTCCACGTTACCATTACCCCGATAAGTTAGTCGTCGTGTGTTCGTGTTGATCTCACCCTACTAACATACAATCTTAGGGACGAACTCCCCCGGATACACATTGGTACTCTTTAACGTGCTAGCGATCAATTCGTCAGATCTTGTTCCATGTAGCTCCTATGGAATTTCACTCTCAACCTTCTGTTACATGCTAGAGTTTCCCTTGCATTCGCGAGGTCCAAGCTGCAGTTTCTCGTCGCCGCTACCTAAGTTCCTTAGAGACCTGCGTCATCCGCACGAACCCAGACAATTAGTCACTAGCCCCAGGATTGTTTTGGGCAACACTTGCAGCAGAAGCATCACTTCCACCTATCACTTCGACTAGCTCTCGCTCCAGGCACTGAACTACCCATTCTGACGTTTCTAATATTCGAAGTGCAAGCGCCAGTAACCGCGATCCGCCACCGCACTCTTACCTCATGATACCCCGAAAATCCCTGTAGTGGAACCGACCACCTCCTACGCCCTGTCTGTGTCGCTTCAACTAATTGAGTGACAGCGTTGGCTCGCGGCACATTTGCTATGTCTTTTCTTGATTTGTCGCCTTCACCAGAACCCTCAGAAGCCGATGAAGATATTTTATTTGTCCTGCGAGCCGGAGATACCAAGACGAGTGTACTGCACAACGCCCCGAAGAACGACGTCATGAATAAGGTCCCGAACATACCAACGCATCCAATCCCGAGCATGCAAGGGGCATTTGCAGAATCTTTTCTGGAATCAAGTGCTGGGTATGTGGCTCCTACAAATGAAATACACAAATCAGTTGCAACGAGACGGCAGATACTACTGAGTCAGAGTGTGACCGAACCGACCCATGCGGCAAGATGGAGACTAAAGCCAGGTCAGCAATTTCATGAGTTCTGGAAGCTCATGTCACAAATATCGTTTGGAATATACCTTCTACTCAATGGTATAGCGAGGGACGAGGAACAAGTAATGAAGATACTGCAGGTGCATGTGGATGAAATCGACGAATTTTTAGAAACAACATTGCAAGACTTTAATTTAGCTCAAGACGATATAGAAGAGCGACTGAAACACCTTAAACTGCCCCTCAAAAATGTCGCTGTATTCGATTCCATGATGGAAGATAGGGTTTTCCGACTGCAAATAGTTGATGGCAATGAGAAAATTGAGCACGTTATTTCTCGCACAGCCTCTGCAATGAATGATGCCTTGAAAGACGTTCAACAAGGCGCCAATGCTTGCAAAGAATTCACCCTCTACCTGGCAAGAGAACAGAATAATACACTGTGGAAGAACCGATCAAATATGCGAAAAGTTTATGAAGCAATGAAAGGAAACGTGAATGGATGGTATAAAGCATTCGTTTCACTGCAGACCAAAGGTAGTATCTTAGATGTGACCTTGGTACAACTCGGGTCAATCCTGGCTGAGATGGATCGGCGAGCGGGTGAAGTTAGTCGGAGAACACGAGTATGTAGGATCTCTTATGCTATTGAGTCCGCTAATATAGTACAGTTTAGCACCACATCCCCTCAAAATTCTTCCATGAATTTAACCAAGAGTCTCTCGCGACATGAAAGCCGGATTTCTCGGCAGATGAGGCTGTCATTAACTAAAGGTCTATATCCTAGAATCGACTTTAACTTGCCCGATATACAGCTTAACCTAGGGAACAACCAACAGGCGACAGACGGTGAAAGCGATTCAAACCCTAATCAAATGAATTCTAAAGAAGAAAGTATACCCGAGCCAGACATTCTCTTGAAGCCGCATACATACACACCTGTTCCATCACCGAACCCTGCATCGACAAGTGTTTTTCCAGAAAACAATAAAGCTCAGACGAACTCACCAGCAACAGTAGTCCCGAATATGTCTAGTCCCCCGGAAGTAACCCGGCGAAGTTCAGTTCGCAAGCGCTTTTCAATATCACGCAGAAGAAACTCATATAAAAAGGAAGGTCAACGCGAACCGGTAAATCATGCTGACTGGAAATCACATCACCCTGTACACTTGCCTGCAACTACCTTTGGCACCAATGAAGAAACTACGTCAAATACACAGACATCGCCAAAGCGAGATTCGGATTTAGCCTACTACTCAGATTTCGAGAAAACTCCACACGTGTACACACCTCTAGCAACACCAGACGCACCTCATGATAAACATTTCAGTACTAACCAAAAGTTCTTCGACAGTACTCATCTTTCTGCCAGCAGCAGCAACGTTAATACTGTATCATTTCGCAACGATCGTCTCCTCCCCGTTGTCAAAGAAGGCACGGATAATCGAAGCTTTGCAGAGCCAGCTCCCCTTCTAACTCCGGTATCTATCAAAATACCTGAACAACAATTCTTTCTGCCAGTCAATGCCTCACCGCACTCACCTCTGCAAAGACCTTGGACAGCAGGCCCATTACAGAACCCTCTCCATTCTCAGCCTAATTCGAGTAACTCCAACCTATCCACCTATACAATACATAGTCGTCGTAATGGCGCTGCTCATAGTACTGGAAGAATACATACCCACACTCCAAGCACGCTCCGTAATCTGCCTAGTGCAATGGGGCAGAGTACAATGAGTGATGCAACTAGTAAGGGACCTCGAAAAAAAAGAAGTATGTTTGGCTGGCTGAAAGAACAATTCAGCCTCAGTGAGGAAGAGAAGCAGGCGTTTGAGGCAAGAAAGCAACTAGGGGAAATAGAACGCCTGGCCGCCGAGAGAATGACAAAGAACAGCGGCCCTGATAGAAGAAGATGGCTGGATGGAAAACGTATTGACGAGAGAGGACGGATGTCAGAAACTAGAGAGGCGAAAAGAATACAATAAGGCCTAATCTATGGCGTCAGTGGTTGGGCATTAGGTGGAGTACAGGTGTTTGACGGCATAATCTGGTCTGTAGGTATGGTGGGGATTGATACCCAAGCACAGCATTACTATTTTTAAATCCAACAAGTCGGATTTTATGACACATTCAAGCAAGCAAATTTTTTACAACCCGTCACGATGTGTACGGGTATGGCGTTGGATGGGTGTCGAGTTATGGATCAATAAATAATTTCTTTAAAACCCGGATAGAGACAACAAATTGAACTTCAGACGCCTCGGAGAGTTTACCAGGAATAGTGGATTTCCCTAGACAAGCGCTATACCTAAGAAGGAACAAATCATGAGTTTAGGCGCACAGTTTGCTATTCTAAAATTCCCATCTGTGATTAGAAATCTCACTGGAGTTTGATAAGTAGGGGAGTACTGCTTTAGTTCTTATGTCCCTTGGTCGACGAGGAGAATGACATGGCAGTCTATCTAGCGTTTTGGGTTAAGAGGAAGGTTGTAAGTAGCGTGTTAAGTCGTACTCGAGAGGGGTAGGAAATGTAACTCGGCACAGTATGATATACTGCGACGATGATGTAACATTTGGTTATTATTTGCATCGTAGGAGTCATTTTTTGTACTGAGAAGTGTACGCGTCATCGTTGTCTTGTCTCAAGATGCTGTAGGTGAAGGCTTCGTATCTCGACTCATTCACACGTCTCGGGGATTTAACACCGAGAGCTGCGCATCTACTCCGCTACTTTGGCACGCGCAGCTCGTGGGATCTCGCTTATGCAGGGCGGGCGGTAATGTGGCCTGTAAAAGCGAGGCCATATTGTGACAAGACAATCGATGTGGGGGGTTTAAGATTCTGCACTGCCTCTGCCTGCCATGTGTGGCTCGCTAATTGCGGAGGAGACATGTGTCCAAGGGCCCCATGGGCGCGCGGGATATGCTGCCGCCAATGGCGCTCTAGCCGGCCTTCTCGGGGCAGATGTCCGAAGCACCGAGCTGTAAAGCACGCATAGCCACGAGCATGTCGATCGGCACCGCCAAATCGCAATCATCGCCGAACCCGACCCCGGCGCTCTTATGACGGCGAAATAAATGGCATGAGTAACACAGCGCAGGATGTACCTCCAATAAGATAATTATTCTCATAAATGCTGCGTCGATGTGCTTTCTACGATATAATATATCTCACGGCCTAGCATAATTGTCTACAGACCGGTTGAAATACCCAAAATAAGTTACATATTACCACATAAAATACAAGGCTTCTTTTAAAATATGACTCTTTCCGTATCTGACTAAGATGATCGTCACTCTAGTAATCGGTAATTGCATCGGCCTTGCTATTCATCCAAATTCTGCCAACGAGCCGCCTGTCTAAGCAAGAGCCAGATTCCCGTCTCGCACACGTGCAGGAAACACACCTGCTGCCTCATTTTCGTCGGATGAACCATGATTTCTCCGTCCAACGGCTGGGGGGGCAACCGGGAGTTATCTACCCCACTCTCATGCCCGACTTGTCGGAGGATCGACACGCACAGCCCTCTGTTGTCTGCGACCTAACCTCTCGGTACTTGCACGGCTTTCACGCCTCTAAAGGGTCTACTAGCGCACGGAGCAAGGCATAGATAGCCAGGTTCGAGGGTCAATACGCATTCATCGCAATGCTTGCGTCTTATAGAGGAAATTTATTATCTTACGGGCCGGGCGATGTGCAGTGCGGAGGGCAAAGACTGAACAGATTTCAATGGTATCCTCTACGAACCTGGGAGTGAAATATTCTCCCAGACCCAAGTTCAGTCAAATTTCGTAATATCTAAGAAGTTGGCCCACGAGGCAATGATTCAAATTACTCCACCACATCAAATTTTCACTGCTAACGAGTTTGACGCCTACATAAGTCTCATCAAGTCTACACGTGCGACCAAGTACATCCTCATCCCATGACCACACCTCTCATCGACTTTCTATGGCCTCAGCTAGCCATTAAATGCACGCCCACGCCGATATTTTACACCCGAAGAAGGAAACAAAGCTTGGCGCACAGATTTGGGAGATAGCTCTTTGGAATGGATGTGAGGGGAGTTAGGACAAGTTCACAAGATGATTCAAAATATGGAAACAATCTCGACGGGCGTAAAATTTCGAATTTTGGCAATGAGTTTTACAAATTGAGCTTTGTGCGCGTCAAGACTTCGGCTGTGAGAGTGCAGCTGACACTGTTAACACTGTCATGGTTGGATGGTGCGGTGATACATCGTCTTGGCCGGTCTACCAAGTAGAGTCCGGACAGTTTGGACATATATCCCACTCGAGACAGCAGATCGCTGGTGTAAATTGATGAAGAGGGCATGCTTGGATAATCAAAGGTTTTGAATTTCCCGTTGGTGGGTACTTACAGAGGAAGTTCGACTGTTTGTGTAAGCGAACATACCTCATAGTGCTATTTGCAAATGAAATCCAGAGTATGAGTGTCTAACGATAAAAGATTCATCCAACATCTATACATAGCACTGGTCATGTGTCATCTGTCGTAGCCTGATAACTGAAAACACGTTAAATGATAAACAAAAAAAACTACCCAACATGCCGATGCCCCCAAAACAGCCCAGCAAATTCAAACAGTGAGAGCGAGCTACTGCTCAGCGCCTCGGGAAGTTATCAGATTTCCGAAGGATTAACCGACTCTACTAACCTTCTAGGTGGTGGCAGAGATGTAGCGGGTTACGTAATGTGGTTATGTAATTAGAACTAGTAGCGCGGTGGTCGTGTATTTACGCGTCGTAGATAGAAAGCAATAGAGTACTTGTGACCTTTCACAGCTCCGAACCCTAACATATTTCTGTGGCCTCCCAATCTTGAGTCCTTCATTTTAGGCACTTCCAAAGTTACCATGGCCCAGCATCTCTCCCATCTTCACTCGCAGGCTTTGATTTCTTCTTCGGACGCTCTTACCCAAAAACCCAAGTTTGGCGTCCTACGATAATTCCCGGCCGACGCGAGTGTTAGAAGACGGGGCGCGGGTCGGGTTGCGGCTTTTTTCGGCATTAAACTTAGACTTTGTCAAATTGATTGGCGGTCGAGGGGGAGTGCGATAATTAGCTTAAGCTGATATCGGCTTGAGGGTCATGATGTTTATCTTCGTGATTTGTGTGTGTCGAGAAATCTCTACCATCCGGAAGTTCCGACCAATATCAGCCCAGCATTACTCTTTCTCACAAGAATCTCAGTCAAGAAATAATTGACTCGAACGTTTTGGTATGGCTGAATCTTGACTCTGAATGCATATTTCATTGCCAGGTTCGTAGAGGATACGGAGGAAAGATTTTCAGTTTCTGCCCTCCCGAGAAAAGAAAACGGAGGGGGACCATTCTCAACACCTATCAGTGGTGTCCCCTTCGAACCTCCAGCTCTCACTGTAAAGTCTGCAGAGCTGAGATTGAGCAACAAAGTCCTCACTTCGACGAGGATTCCCAATCGCTTTCGCGGTCTGTGTCGTCTTCATCTCTCAACACATCCCCCTATCACTTCTATTATGAAGCTAACCACGATCAGATCAGATGGTAGGGTCGGAGCTCTACTCATCACCAAACCTTGATCACGGAGGAAAAGCCATCCGATGAGTTTCCGGAGCGTACCCAGCACCCGATACGGAGATTGCGGATTGGATCAAGTCGACCTCAACTGTTACAAAGAAGGGAGATATAGATGAATATGCGCACCTCATGTGGTCCCGGTGTCTAGGCATCGCCTGGCTGGCGCTGCAGGTTTTTTGAGACTTTTTCCCGCGCACGAAGTTTCCATTGCTACCATTTTTATTTCTTTGGGTAGAAGGTTCCGTGGAAAAGGTGGCCGAATTCCACGGGTAAATACTAAGCTGAATGGCTATTCATCACGGTCAATATATCAATGATCTTTCAAGGAACACAAGAGGTAAGGAGCACTGTAAAAGGTGTGACCTGGGCCAGAGAGTAGCCCAATATGCTAAATAGTCTATGACTCAAGTAGTACAATAAAAACACACGCAAAGTAAAGCGGAATAAGGTTCACTTAATGTCAATAGTCACGTGACAACGCTAAGCCCAGTTAGGTCGACAAGCTTGGCCGATGTTATCGAGAGTACCTCGCTTCTGATGGGTGAACACTATAATTAAATATTGTGAGCGGATGCATATTTAATTATAGTCAGCTCTAGTTATGCAGGCATAGAAGGTGATCCGTGCGTACAGATACAAGGGAAAGGCGGTCTTTCTCGTTCAACCTACATAGAGAACCTTAGTAATCTAGTTACAGTACGGGATTGAGCCAATAACGTTTACAAAAATCAATCTATATAACCACCACGTCGCATCGTAGCGCCTTTAATTCTCACGCTACTTTGCCATGTGAACGGCCATGTGCAAGTAATTTTATCGCAGAAATACAGTGTTAAAATTTCTCACTCTTTATCGATCCGTACAAACATACCGTACGATAGTAACTCTTGTTGATATTCAGGATTGCGATGGATAGCAGAGATTGATGGTGTTTATGACAGTGCAGGGGTTTGTAATAATGGACAGGGATATGAAACGTAAATATATAAATATTTGTACTTGCCTCTATAATATGATGATGCTTCCGGCTACATTCACATTGTCCTAGCCTAGATGCAATAAAATAAAGTCCAAACCTACTCTAGCTAATCACCCCTCTATATATTGGTCTTATCTCCTAATTAATATCTTTTCGCCCTTTTATCCTTCATGACAGGCCATTTTATTCTTCGTCTTGCTGGCCATCATCAGGCTCAAAGTTATGGACAGATTAAGTCTTAAACAAGTTGGTCAATAAGTCATACTGCAGGAAGATAAAGTATAATGATACGACGAAAAAGAGAAGTTAAGATCAAAAACCAGAAACAGTAGTTATCTTATTGTTTGTGTGTGAAATATAAATGTCGGTGCTGACGACCGGAGCGTCGACTCGGAAGCCACGAATGGTATAACATCCAACAAAAGCAACTTTATTGATTATGAAAAATTCGACTTCACAATTAGCATAATTAAGGCAGACATGAATCTCAACGTCATTGGTCGTGGTAAAATATGCTGTCTTATAAATGACGAGCGGTCGCACATTTCGTCACAAGAATTTACGAGCACACCGGACTGAAAAGTTAGCTCAAAGTACTGATATGGCATGATTAGAGGATATTGAAGACTTTATCCTGAGCTTATAGGTCATGTGGCGATTTAAGTAACAAAGGATAATCTAACATCCCTTACAAACATACTCTGCTGGTGCGACGTAAAATAATAAACTTACTGTTAGAATTTAGAATAATTGGGACTATCAAGTAGGCCACGTTGTTGGTACACATGTGACTACAAATTCTGTACTTAGTTTCACTTCGGTAGTCACTTGAATCAATGCGCTCTACAACCTCAATGACTGAGGGGTCATTATTTCCTTCATACTTACATACATACTCTCATATCACAACGAGTATTTATTATCCTATACTAGTTACTGTATATCGTTCTCATTTCATTCCATTTAGATTAAACATTTCATTTTCGCTCTCCCCTCTCTGGCCCAACAGGTCGCTGAAGAGCTTGAGATTGTACAAAGTGTGGCTAAGGGCCGAGCTGCATGGGTCCAGAACTTCCACACCAAGTTCTGGGCATCCGCTGAAGAGGCTGATCCCCTCATAAAAGCCTTTGTGCGCGAACAAATAGACGCGTTTCTTCTTGCGGTCGAGTCTAGGCACCCGATGCAGTAGGACAACTTCAAACAGTCAAAATCGCCGGGCTCTTTACCCATGCTAAGCCAAAATATTCCCCCCACGACCTTCTGATACTGTGTCGAAGCATTCTAGAAACTGGGCGGCAACTACCGCAGCCTCACCTGCAACCTCTATTCTAGCGCCGGCTCAAGTTAGGCCCAAAGCTACAAATCACTCAAAATGCACGTCTGCCCCAAAGCAAACTGCATGCTCCAAGGGCCCTAGGGTTATCTTTCGCCTCACAGAGAAAGCTCCTCTCCTAAGAGCAGACGTAACTTCAGTCAAATCAGCTCTTATTCACATTGTTCTAGGTCTCAAGGATAGTTTAGCCCCCATTTTTCGCAGCTCAAGTGGCTTTAACATCGCCTTTTCATCTGACGCAACTCCTCAACTTGAGTTGGATAACGCAGACTCCATAAAGGCGTCCCTCTTAGGATCCTATCTGAAAATAGAAGATCGTTTCGGGTACGTGATTAAACGTATTCCACGCACTATATGGTCCCATTGTCCAACCTGGTCCCCACCATACTCGAAGATATCAAGAGCATTGCTCAGGCACAAATAAGTGTTGCTCTATCTGGTGCGCATTGGCTATTACATGAAAATTACCTTGATCTATTACAAACAGCGGCTATATTCTTCCCAAAGGAGGTGTCGACTTTTAGAACCGTTGACAGCGCCCCTTCTCGACGCTTCATTTCTAACCTGAAGTTAGTGCAGTGTAATGCTTGCTTTGGGTTTCTGTTGGAAATTCTGGCTCTCGAATTTAGGACTCAATCATTATCTGTTTCGTCTCAGGTTCCCGACAAGATCGACTCTCTACACACATGTGGATCCCGGATAGATCTACAGGGCACGAATTAGCTAGATGTAGGAAACACGGCACACACACGTAATCGTAATTATCCTATGACCTCACGCGCAGCAAATCGCACTGTCAGAGCCCGCGGTCAGAGCCCGCGACCACAGCAGTAGATCTACTAGCGTTGAGGAGTAAGGAGTAATCAATATATATATAGACACATAGACATCCGACACTTGAAGGATATAGAATTCACGTATTAGTCTCAAGCTCTACACCAGATCCGTTGTAGTTAGGAGCCACTAGACACCACGTGATATCACCCCAATCTTACACCCACACCCATTGTATACTAAGTATACAACGCGCGCTCGGAACCTCAAAAATATATTTTTGAAGAGTAAACCTCATTTCGAAATTTCAAAAAAAAAAAAAAAACAGTTAGAACAACTCGTCATACCACTCATCATGTCCGAAAAGAGCGAGCCAGCGACAATCGCAGGTGTTAACAAAAAGGTTCGTGATCATATTGACCAGCAAAGCGAGTTCAACGATAGGATCAAGAAGCAACTCGAAAAACTTGAAAGCGTGTTAGGTTCGCAAACGGACATCGCCATTCACCAAGCAGAACAAAGCAAAATAATGGCTGAAAGGATGGACCGCATAGAAATAACAATGTACGAGATAAAGACGAGTCTCAAAGCGATCCAACCAATAAACCAACCTGGTAAGCTCGCAATGTCTGAAGCCTCCAATTCGGCGACCCGACCTGAAAAAGGCAAAGCCCCGGCAAGGCCGGATACATACCCTCCGGTCGACAGCACAAATGTCACCTCCAAACCAGAGCCCGATTCCATCGCTTTAACACCTGGCGAAAAATTTGTCAAAGAAACTTGGCCTCAAGCACTTCTGGCTCATGACGTAAATCACGAGGCATATACCAGCATAAAAAATAAGGTGATAATAAGACCGGAACTTCGCCTGGACAAGGCCAACTCTACTGTATTTTCCAAGCTCGCTGAAATTCAGTCAGCTTTTAGAATTGCCTTAGTCCTGTACTGGTACTGGCCACAACGGCTTTGCTTAGACATGAAAGAGGACTTCCAATGTACACGCGTTTAGGCTGAGGAAAATCCGGCAACTACTTGGCCCCTGCTACTGGAAGCAATCTTCAAAACTATGCAGCGACTAGACGTCCTACATAGTCCCAGAACCATCTTCTCCCGCCTCGCTGCTAGAGATGGAGAAGACGTTAACTCCTTCACCACCAGAATCCGCGAATGCTACTACGGCCTGTCCAGGCAAGACAGAGGAAGCGATACTACTCGAGATACTCTATCTGATATCACAAAGATCTACTTGCCGCATATATGGACACATCTCCAGCCAATAATGGTAGGAAGATCAAACAGTGATGGTGTCGAACTACTTGTTCAAATAGCGACCCGGATCTCGAAATGGCCAGCGTAAGCAAATCTTTGCGTTAGTGCGGATACAAACTCATCGTCTAAGCTCATGATATCAGATCCCAGGCAGAACCAGCCTTTAGTATTCCCAATTCAAGAGAAAGCTGACACGACATCACCTAAACTTGAGAGCTCTTTTCCGGTACGCGACGGCAGTTGTGCCATTTGTAAAAAAATGGGACACTGGGCTAGAGAATGCCCAAAGAATAACTACACAAAGCAAGCACCGCCGAATTATAAGCAAGATACCGGTAAAGATAAGTACGGTAACTTCAAGAAGAAAATTTCGGCCCTCTTGGACAAAAGTATGAATCAAAAGCAACCGCAGCACATAGGGAGACCAGGGAACCGAGGAACCTATCTTATCAACTCAATTGACTCCGAAGAGACATCTGGTGACTATGATAACGCAGATCGTTTTCCAACAGACGACGAGTTGGAAAAATTCTTCGATGAATTAGAAGAAGAATATCCCGTCGAGAAAAGACGTCAAGATGCCTACTTCGTGGCAGTAGAAATTGACAATCACACCACCCCCTTCGTCATCAAACTAATACGAGAGGGACATGGCAAGCCACACAACTTATTTTACACTCGTTTAACAACGTCTCCTTTGTTCAGTTTCTCGACTTTTTTCGATTACGGTTGTCCTTCTTGTTATATTTCCTTTTCTCTCGCACAAAAACTAAACCCCTACCAGACAAACTATACTTCCACGATGTCTGGAATAGGTGGCAAAGGTCCCACTGTCTCCTAAGATGTTTTAGTCAATGCGCAATTTTCCTTACCCTCACATAATGCGAAGTGGTCAACGCCATTTACTATTTCAGCAGGCGTTGTGCCCGACGGAACATTTCCTGGAGATCTCACGCTCGGGCAAACAGTATTCCATACTTTCGGATTAAAATTCCTTGCCAATGACGAGATTAAGCTCCTTGAATTTCCAGAAAAACCAACCCTAATGTGACGGCCCTGCATCATAGTAATGAGAAGGGGTGCAATGACATAATGATTAGTCTGTAGTATAAGGAGTTACCCGGTATGGAACGCACGGGCCAGGTGTAAATTATGTACAGCTATAGATCTGTAGATGCTTTCTTTCCCTTCTCTTCCTTAGTTTAGAATCCTTTATATTATAATCCTGATTTGAATATCTATTTGATTCGACTTCGTCATCTCCTAGCTCGTGCTCTATCCAGACCCTCACACCTAACCCCCGACAGTAAACACAATCTTTCCCAACAAATCTGTACGACCACAGAGGTAATGAAAGTAAAATAGCACCCGAGTACTACAACTCAGGGTTTAGAATATGGTCTAATTTATGCAGAACAATTTCCTTCCCTTTTCGATAAATCTTTGAGAAGATCCGACATTCTTTCTAAAACCTCCCACCGAATAGATACATGTAATAGCTCTCCAATCAAACTTCTTCCAAGACGCTACAGCCCGTCACAACTTCAAGCTATCCGCGATTTTTGCAAAGCTCACGAAGGAACATTAATAAAAAAATGCAAAGGACCCTTGGCAGCACCCTTGCTACTTACACCAAAAAAGACAAACGCAAGCTCTGAAAAAGTAATTTGGCGAATATACGTTGATTATAGAGAACTAAATAAAGTTACAAAAAAACACGCACATCCGTTACCAAATACTCAGGATGAAACTCAACGAGCTTCCGGACACAAATACTACGCATTTCTTGACCTCGAAAATGGTTTCTGGCAAATCCACATGCACGAAGATGACAGCGAAAAGATCGCCTTCGTCACCCCCTTCGTTGTCTACCAATGGCTAGTTATGCCTTTTGGACTCTGTAACGCTCCGGCCACGTTTCAATCATTTGTGGAAGAAGTCCTTCAACCATTCAGAACGTTTGTCGCAGGACTCCTAGATGTCGTAGCAGTCTGGGGAAACACTCCCGAAGAACTTCACACTCGTTTGATTCTCATTTTTACTAGGTTTGCGGAATATGGATTAATTCTCAACACATCCAAATGCCATCTTTTTGTTACACACGGTATTTTCCTTGGATTTTCTATCTCTTTTCTGGGTATTTCAGCAGACCCAAATAAAGTCTCTGCAATACGAGATAGGCCTATGCCAAAAACTACGTCTGAGATTCGCGGTTTTGTCAACGCCGCAAGCTATCTTCGTTCACAATTAAAAGATTTCTCAAAATTGGCCGGCCCTCTCATTGACCAGTCCATCGGTCCAAAGAATTCGCCTATCGTTCTCACTGCCGAGTCTCAAGCAGCATGGGGCAAAATTAAAGACGCCCTCACAACTACTCCAGTGGTAAAATGTTTCGATTGGCGCCTGCCTGTTGTTTTGGAAACAGACGCATCCTAAAAGTTGCTTGGAGCAGTATTACTCCAGCCTAGCATTTCTATATCCGATAACTCTCGATCTATTCTTCATCCTATAGCCTACTTTTCACGTAAACTCAACGACACGCAGCAACGGTACTCGGCTCAGGAACGGGAACTACTGGCAATCTTAATGGCTTTACAACACTGGCAGCACTGGGTCGAAGGATCGGACGTCACTGTTGTTACGGACCATGAATCACTCAAGTCAATCCGAACTAAAGCTGAAAAACCAGTAAGAATCGTCCGATTCCTAGACAGCATCGAGCATTATGGCATACGCATAGTGTATCGAAAAGGTAAGGCAAATGTTTTGGCAGACTACTTATCACGCCCAACGCAAAATATGTACCCTACTAGAGAAGAGCATGAAGATCTACGCAACATTCAAGAAATGATTCCAGATCAAGGCAACCTACACGAGCAGGAAACCTTGAGCAATCCCGAATATTTAAACCGGATAGACCTTCAATGTATTTTCGAGTACCTTTTAACCGGACAAGACCTACCACCAAAACTCACCGCAAACTGGGTACAGAGAACATTTACAATCTACGACAATAAACTGCTTTAAGTCAAGCCAATAACCTCGACGGCTATAGGAGATTCGCCAACGACAGCAACGTCTCGCAGCATACTCCCCGTGCTAGAACGGGAAGAACTTGAAAAGGAGATCGGAATCATACACGAAAGCCAAGGACATGCATCCATCGGGACGACCATGCGAGTAGCCAACCGGAAATTTTGGCACCCTAAATTACTTCTGGCCGCACTCCAAGCTGTTCAAAACTGCCGTTCGTGCCAACTAATGAAGCAGCCGGACCCAGCGCTAGGTAACCTAACACCTATTCAACCAGCCCCACCCCTAACTCGTTGGGGTATCGACCACATCCAAGTCGGACCGCAGATACTTTTGCATGCAGTCGAATACTCAACGAGTTGGTTAGAGTCGCGGTTAGTACCAAACACTAACTTCCAAAATACTGTACCCCTGTTGATGCACATCATCAATTGCTTTGGCGCTCCAAAGCAACTCATCAGCGACAATGCAGGATGTTTCAGTGGCTTAGAGGCGCAGAGCTTCCACGCCCGGTATAAAATTAAGGTCACCCACTCGACCCCCATAAGGCCTCAAAGCAACGGCAAGGTAGAACAAGCAAACGGCGTGCTCAAAGCCATTCTAGCTAGGATCCTACTAGATGGCTCTATCAAATCACCCAATGAAGCACTCCCTCATGCAGTAATGATGTACAACAGAAGGATAGCTCCATCCAGGTACAGTCCCTACTTCCTCTTATTTGGAACACAACCACCAAATGAAGAATTGGCATACCCAGAATACACCCGTGAGTCAACTCTACGAGAGGAAAATGACTGGGCCGCCGAGTTAGTGAAAGCACATGCCGCACCCATAGTAAGATCTTACGTCGCTAGTATGAAGGCCGTCCGCGACCAGACCCGATCATACCTACAAGAAAAGAAAGCACTCATGCGGACATACGCATCAGGCGACTGGGTGTTACGAGTACGACAACGTAGACACAAATTCGAACCATTCTACGACGGGCCATGGGCAATAGCAAGTTGTCACGAGGGAAACACGTATTCATTGATCTCCCCTGGAGGATGCAAGCTGTCTGACAAGTACAACGGTACCAATTTGTTCCCCGCTTAAGTGCGACAAGGACACCCTGTGAGGAGCCTATGATATGGCAGTCAGAGACTACTAAACGAGGATCGGAACAGACTGAAAGCCGCAGCTGGCCTGTGAATATTTTAACTATCATATTATGATGAAAATATATTTTTAATTTTTGTGAGCCGAGGACAGCTCAGGTATGGGAAAAGGAGTATTGTGGATCCTGGATAGATCTACAGGGCACGAATTAGCTAGATGTAGGAAACACGGCACACACACGTAATCGTAATTATCCTATGACCTCACGCGCAGCAAATCGCACTGTCAGAGCCCGCGGTCACAGCAGTAGATCTACTAGCGTTGAGGAGTAAGGAGTAATCAATGTATATAGACACATAGACATCCGACACTTGAAGGATATAGAATTCACGTATTAGTCTCAAGCTCTACACAAGATCCGTTGTAGTTAGGAGCCACTAGACACCACGTGATATCACCCCAATCTTACACCCACACCGATTGTATACTAAGTGTTAGAATTTAGAATAATTGGGGCTATCAAGCAGGCCACGTTGTTGGTATGCACATGACTACAAATTCTGTACTTAGTTTCACTTCGGTAGTTACTTGAATCAATGCGCTCTACAACCTCAATGACTGAGGGGTCATTATTTCCTTAATAGGTTATGAGCCCGGATTGTCGCTCGCGCAATCACGTTGTATCGCCTGGAGTTTGATACCATCTTCGTTATGGGCAAGTAGAAGGGCATATGCTCTACTTGCGCCAAATCAATCCAACTAGGAGGCTGTCACCTTCTTGAACCCAAGACAAGGCCATCGCCTTTGAGTTGCAATCTCTAAAGAAAATTGAAGGGCCGTCGCCTGAGAAGACAGGAGGTTATCGCCTTCGTTAGGGAAAGTACAGGTCGAGTACTGAAAATAAGGGGTCGCTGCGAAACCCTCGTGAGGATGGATGGTTCCAAAACGCACCGGTAGCCAGCCCGTCGATGGACTCTAAGAGAGAGAGCCCATGGGTCAAATGAGTCGACCCGAAAGAAACCAAAAAAAAGAACATAAACCTTGCAGCTACAGTACGAAAGCTGCTCCCAACATAACAGTCTGACAGCTACTTTACGACAGCTGTTAATTTAAATTCCTCGACTCTCTTCCGAAGTTTGTCGAATCCCCAACCTGACAGTTCCTATCTGAAAGCTGTCGCAAAAATTTTCGCTGCTGATTTCCGACAGCAGTTCGAACCTCAACCCAGCAGCTCCGCTTCGAAAGCTGCTATTTATACTCTCAAGAATTCCTTTCTTACAGTCTTTTCATACATCTAAGCAGAGGGAAACTCGTCAAATTATCCGACAACATAAAAGTCTCTACAATAGCCTCAGGCTTCAACATTAACACCCTCTCAACGGCTATCTTCGTTTAAGTCTAAATTTTCGAGGGGGAGATTAAGTCAAAAAGTAGAAGAATAATGGGTGACAAAAATACCGAAGCAAGATAGAAAGAAAACCAAGTGGAGCTTGGTGATGGTATGAGAGAGCTATCACACGGTACGCTCTGGAATAAAAGTCTTTGGAATGGATACACCAGTGGGGCATATTGCTTGTGAAGGGAAACGAGACAATGGAACACTAGTGATTTAGATGGAATAAACACCGGAACAACCACAGTACGGAAACTAGGGGAGTGTATGTGAGAGCTGAGAAAGGCTGACGCTAAGACGCCAAATTCTGGGGGAGCCTTTGAAGTTACCGACATCAAATTGAAAGGTTACTCTGGAAAGGCTTAGGACTCTACGGTGTTCATGGGGGAAAATAAGAGGAGATGAATCAATTCCAAAAGTTACGTGACTTGGATTGATTCATCGAAAATTGAAAGACCAGTTTGGGAGCAGACAACTAATCATTCAAGAAAACGTCCAATGAAGCAAAGATACAGGAAGACAAGGAATACGCCCAATTAGTCTATGGGGGAGTGTTAGAATTTAGAATAATTGAGGCTATCAAGTAGGCCACGTTGTTGGTATGCACGTGACTACAAATTCTGTACTTAGTTTCACTTCGGTAGTTACTTGAATCAATGCGCTCTACAACCTCAATGACTGAGGGGTCATTATTTCCTTAATACTAAGTATACAACGCGCGCTCGGAACCTCACATATATCCTGAGTACGCTAATCGCGCCTACTGTCGCATGTACGTTTGGATGTTTACGTACTACAGTGTACCTTGGATCATCATGGCAGATGAGAGGTGGCTGGTCACCACTAGGTTTGACAGGCACATGAGACTAGTGGAATGTGTGTGTGTGTTTCATTGTACTACTTGAGTCTATGACTATCTAGCACATTGGGCTCCTCTCTGACCCAGGCCACACCTTGTACAGTGCTCCTATCCTCTTTTGTTACTTGAAAGATCATTGATATATTCCCCTTGATGAATAGCCATTCAGCTCAGTATTTACCCGTGGAATTCAGCCACCTTTTCCACGGAACCTTCTACCCAAAAAAAATAAAAATGGTAGCAATGGAAACTGCGTGCGCGGGAAAAAGTCTCAAAAAACCTGCAGCCCCAGCCAGGCGAGGCCTAGACACCGGGACCACATGAGGTGCGCATATTCATCTATATCTCCCTTCTTTGTAACATTCGAGGTCGACTTGATCCAATCCACCATCTCCGTATCGGGTGCTGGGTACGCTCCGGAAACTCATCGGATGGCTTTTCCTCCATGATCAAGGGTGGGTGACGAGTAGGGCTCCGACCCGACCATCTGATCTGATCGTGGTTAGCTTCATGATAGTGGTGATAGGGGAATGTGTTGAGAGATGAAGACGATACAGACCGCGAAAGCGATTGGGAATCCTCTTCGAAGTGAGGACTTTGTTACTCAATCTCGGCTCTGCAGACTCTACAGTGAGAGCTGGAGGTTCGTAGGGGACACCACTGACAGGTGTTGAGAATAGTCCCCCTGAGACTAGTGGAAATTTCTCCCTTAGATGTAAATATAAGTCCAATGTTCCTATAGTTGTAAAATATTAAGTCTTCTTCACTTCATCATATATATCCATATAATATCGTACAGAGTATATTTCCCAACAGTTTCATCAATACTTCCGCTGCCGGAATCAAGCTTTGTGCGCCAACTGTGGCATACTCCGCCACCACGGAGAATGCTGCCACTTTCGCTGATGCATTATCTGCCTTGGCCAATACTCTGCAGACAATCATAATTGCCCGCTCCGCGCTCGCCCTTTTAAGGGCAAAATTATCAATCCTTCAGTAAAGCGATCATAGAACTGCGCTCACACAACCATAATAATCTTCGAAAGACACGCCGTGCAGATGCTGCTGCTACCGCTGCCACCACTTCTACTTCCCCAGTTGGGTCTAGTGCGCCAGAAAATAACGCTGAAGTTTCTAATGTTCCTTCTCGGCACATTACTTCTGCCAGCCAGAATAGTTTTGCCTCTCTCGTACCCGATTCGGCTTGATCTATGGAAGTAGATCCAGTTGAGTCAATCACTCATAACGGTCCCTGCCCTAATCTCTATGAATAAAGAGCTTATTTCAAGAGCACCCCCCAACTTGCCTTATTTTCCTCCAAGCAAACGTTGGGCATGGCGGATCTTCTCACCTCATTCCTCTACAAGCTGTATTTCAGGGAAAGATTGATGTGATCTTTGTCCAAGAGCCTTGGACAAAAACAATAAACCTCAAGAATGTAACCAAGTCTCATCCAGCCTATGTTACATTCATTCCTCCTAATACAGACTAGAAGCGTGCGCGGCCGCGCGTAGTCGCTTACATTCGAAAAAAACCCAATCTTTGACCCACCCAGCTGGATATTTACCCTTCATCTGATATCACAGCCCTCATGATCTAGTGCTCTCCTCCTCTAGAAGTCATCAATATCTACCGGCAACCTCAAGCACACATGCCCGAGGGTCTCAACGCACTCCTAAGCTGGCCGGTAAAGCCTAATACCATAATCGTGGGGGATTTTAATCTCCACCATTATTACGACTGACCTCAGGTTAACACTAGAAGACTCCTTCGACAGATGAGAGAATTATCGCTTTGCATTTAGACCTAAAGCTACGCTCGCTAACTAAAAGAAAAGAAAAAGAGAAGAAGAGGTTTCCAGCCTCGCTGAGTGTTGGAAATTCAGACTCTATGTGTCTGAAGTTTCCCATGATTGGAACAACTAAGATTCTCACACATGACTCACGACCTAGATGATTGATATCTCCCTTACTGAGCATGTTTGATGCTTGAGACTCGACTAGTGCATGGTATGGTCTGATACACGTGTAGGCTTTCATCCACCGACCCTGAACCCATACTCATATTGTATACTGTCGTGCGTTTCATTGTCATTGTTAGAGTATGGAACGAGTGATGGATGGTATCTAGTCTGGATTTGGTCTATCAAGATTACATGTATATAAGCTGTCTAAGAATCACTAAGACAGATAATCTAATTCAATTCATTCAACCCATCTTTTATTTCTCCACAGTTTATCACATATTCTCCCGATTCATATCATTATTATTCTATTCATAAAATCGCGCCCATATTCTTTGAGCCGCCTTACTCATCGAACCCATACCGGTTTTCCAACACTGAGCTGATAAGCCCAATAGCTCGCTTCCGGGACCGATGCTTACTCATCCAGACTCTCCACCACAGATACCAGAAAACCAAGACTTCTAAGTACGAGTCGTAACAATCATGAGCTATGGTAGCCTGGTGTTTCCCGCTCACCTGGCGTCGGCATCTGTGCGGAGTGGATTGACAAAAATTCTCTCAGGTCAACATTACCTTACGGAGTCCTAATCCATCGTGCTGGCCATATCCTCGACTTAGTCCTAACTAACATGGAAGAAATCTCAGTTTATATAAACCCCGGGACACATTCGACTTCAGATCACGAGACGTTAACTGGCTTCATCCAACTTATTTAAACCCAAAGTTGGCACCCAATCATGAAGCTACCAAAGTTTAACATTGAGAAAACAGAAATATTTCGTCAGCCTCTCATATTCGCCGCACCTCCGAGCCTCTCCTTTAGAGATCTGACCCCCCAGCTTCTTGATTCGGTGACTTCATTAGGCGTCGCTTCTCTCTCCGTAATCCTACTGGCAGTTAACCCTCCCAGGCCTGTATACATCCCGTGTAAAGATTTCTGGAACGAAGAATTCTTTAAAAATCGTTGTCGGTGTCTGAAAGCTCGCCATAGCCATGATCTGGATCTCACTTCTGAGGCTCGCAAAAGGTTCCGGAAATCTGTTCGACGAGTTAAACTTGAATATAAGCGCTCAAAACTGGACAGTGTTTCGTCGGTTCAGGAGGCCCATTAAGTTTTTGGATGACGTGAAGTATCCAGTAACTTTGCTCCCCCCAAATCCAATTTAGAGGTGTCACCCACAGCACTCTTAGCGAGCGTGCAGGCAGATTCTTTCGCACGAAACTTGCCCGTGTAGCTAGTCAACAAGAAGTTCCTCTGGATATCCCAACTTGCTCACCATGAGCGATCTCCGCACCCATCTCAGTGGATGAAGATGAAATGCGCCACTGTTTTCTAAGTGTATCATCTACAACCCCTGGTCACGACCACCTCTGTCCCTATTCTTCGCCTTATATGGGAAGTGGATGTATGGCGCTCTTGGATTCTTAATTTTTTCAGCCTCTGTTTTGTGTGTGGTCACCACCCCAAAATTTTCCGTCATGCCGAAGTTGTGATTATTCCTAAGCCACACAAGCAGATCTTACGGACCCTGCTAAATGGAGACCGATTTCACTCCTCTCGGCCCTTGGAAAAGGGTTAGAACGTCTCCTAGCCATGCGCTTAGCATTCTGGGCTTTCTCTTATCGCAAAATCTCACCGACACAATTCGGAGCGCTTCCTGGAAGATCCGCTTTGGACCTTTTGCAGTGTCTTGTTCATGATTTCGAGAAGGCGTAGGAGGGGAAGTAAGTTTGCACACTCGCTTTCCTTGATATCTAAAGTGCTTTCGATAGAATCCAACATGGTCGTCTTTCAGCTCGCCTACACAAAGAAGGATGGCTGTCACAAAACGTTAATTGGGCTGCTTTCTTTGCTTCATGCAGGAAATCTCGTCTCCGATTGGACGATTTTTTGGGCGAATTCTTGGATATTCCGCATGACTCATTCTTTTCCTCCTCTATCTTAAACCTTTATTTAAGCTCGGGTTCCCTAAATTTGGATACGTTGATGACGTGGTAATCCTTTCGGTCACAAAGACTGTTACGGCACGTCAAGGAGGTTATATAAGTTATTATATTGCTATCAAGAGGTACGCTTGTAAAGGCAATAAAAGACGAAGAGAGGAGGTAGCTACTCTCGACCCTCTCTAAGATATCTTCCTCGGCTGTGCTCAGTCATCCAACGTGATGCAAAGGCGCGCTAACCCGTATCCCCACACGCACGCAATACGGCTCTCACGGATCGTGACAAAGACTCTGGTTGATACTTCATGCCTAACTAATAACAGGGTGGGGACCGTCACACAATGGTGCAATGAAAATGGTTTCTCTCTAGATGAATACAAGATGGAGCTGTTACATCTTCATAGATCCCGTTAGCCATCTCTTTCAATAACCATCGATGGTATCTCAAGATCTGCAAGCCCAACTTTGAAGTGGCTCGGTGTCTTCCTCAATACAAAGCTTTCCTTCGAAATACATGCACAAGAATGGAGTGCTAAGACGCAACGGTTTAGCGTTCACATACGTCA